ACACACACACACACACACACACACACACACACACACACACACACACACTTCTTCCTGCAAGGGGACAAAGATCCACTAGTGAACTACTTTTATTCCAAATGTTCTGACATCAAATGTGCGGATATTTTCCACCTTGACATCAGGTACTACAGTTCTGTCAATTCCAATGCTAAGTATCTTTTGGCAGTGTGGGGAAGCAAACAGAGCAGTGTGTACCAACTCAGGCAAACCCTCTACCCCTGAGCTCCATCCTTGCCCCTGTCCAGTGCTGATTATCTTAATTTAGTGCAGGTGCACAGGCTAAGGCTTAGTCCTGTGACCACCTCTCAAAACGGCAATCATAAGGCTGAAGTTAATGTCTAGACTAAGACCAACCAGCTATAAATTGCAGGTTCCTGCAACCCCTTCTTCAAGGTTAGTAATTGCTTAGAATAGCTCACAGACCCCAGGAAAGAAGGTTTGCCACTGTGTTAGCCACTCCTACCCCCTTAAACTGCTGTGGCAAAGTTCCCAACAGAAGCCACTTGTTGTTGTTGTTTTGTTCATTGTTGTTGTTGTTGTTGGCTCACAGTTTAGATGGCACAGTGCACTTCATCGAGGAAAACTTGGTGGCTGGAGAAGCTCTGCCTGCGCCTGCAGGAGCTTACAGTATGGTTTGTTCATACCCCGGCAGAGAGCTGGCCCAGAACTGGACAGGAGCCTGCCGTGGATGTACAGCCCCGTGTTCCAAAGGTTCCATGAGTTGCCAGAGTCACACCAGCACTGGGGGAGACCCAAGTGCTCAAACCCGAGCCTGGGGGAGACACCTCACATTTAAATATAACATTCACCCCAAAACAGCCAAACTGAACTGATCTACAGGACAAGGTGAGAGGGCAGGGGGAACCAGGAGCTTCCACATTCCCTTTCCCAGCGTGCCAACCTCCAAACCACCCCAGTATGTTCACCAACCCAGAGTTTTCCAAACCTCATTATTGGGGCCTGGAGTGTGGAGACTCCACTGCATAGACATGGTTTAATTAGTCTTTTGCCTTCGGTGATGAAATCGGATCCCCATTCCCCGCTCCCCAGAAGCTGGGGGTTGAGACTGAGGATTCCAGCCCTTTAACCACATGGTTGGGACATGCTGAAGCCATCTAGAGACCCACCAAGAGTCAACTTGGTAACACAGCTTAGATGTGGTTAAAGGAATATCAGAAGACGGGCCTCTCCCCTGACCACTGAACAATGCAGGGTTGGTTCAACATATGAAGTCAATAAAAATAATCCACCATTTAAACAGAAAAACAAAAATGGCATGATTATCTGAATAGCTGCAGAAAAGGCCTTTGACAAAATGCTTTCATGGTAAAAGTCTGCAAGAGAGTAGGGCTGGAGGGACATACCGCAACAGAACAGCCCTATATGACAGACACACAGCCTGCATTATTCTAACAGAACAGAAGCCCTATATGACAGACCCGCAGACCACGTTATTCTAAGTGGAGGGGAAAACTCCTCAAAGCAATCTCATTAAAACCAGGAGCAGGGCTGTCCACTCTCCCTGAGTTCTGAAGCTGTGCCTGGAACTGAGGACAAAGTCCCACAGTACCATGCTGACTTTCCCACATTCGCTACTGCGAGCATCTGGCCACTTCAGTACCTCCAGACCAACAGGATGAAGCTGTCTGCAGTGCCCACGAGGTTCCCGCCACCCACCACTTCCCCCATGTGTTGCCTGCGATCCTGAGACACCAAACCACAGGCTCTTCCTGCAACCGAATCTTCCCTTTAAGCGACCAACCAGAGGGCGTCCAGAAATTCATTCTTAATTCCACTTCTCTCCTGGTGGGCCTGAACATTTCCACTTACTCTGCACTGACCAACTAAATCTTCTAAACAACGGACTCGGACATTCGCATTTTAGTCTGGTGCTATCTGCCTTCTTCCCTCAAGTTCCATCCTTTTGGAGAATTGGATTAGCTTTCACCTTCCTTTGTCTGTGCCCCTTCTGTCACCTTGAGCTCCCCTGGCCCACAGAATAGGGAGCTAGTCTTTGGATCCCAGGGGAAATTTCACCTCCACCATGGGATTTCTCGTTCCTGTGCTTGCCAACCCTACTTTCCACTGTACCCCCTGGCAACCCCTTCCCAGGAGTTACTGGATTTTAGCCATCTCTATATACTGCATGGAATTTAGCAGAAGAATTTTGCATTAAAGAGGACTTTCCTTGTTGTGTCAAACAGAATCCAAGTGGTGCTGCTTGGCTTCTGGCGTTGCTCTGTACTTCTCTATGGAGGCTCTGCTTCCCAGGCAAACTCCATTTGAGCTGACTTCAGGAGAAAGGGCGATCCCAGCTCACTTCTTACTTGTTTTATTGAATTAGACAAAGCAGACTTGGGAAAAGACTGCCACAGTTGAATAACGGAGGAAGGAAATGAACCAATTCCTGCTTTGGGGAAGTATATAGCAGCTGTGCACCCAGCTGCAGAGGTGAAAACCTGTGGGGGGGTGTGGGGAACCTGAGGAACTGTGTGCACTGAAACTGCCGTGAATATTCCCAAGAGAGATGGGAGACTGTCTCACCACCACAGTTATTTGCATGATCTCTTCCTAAATGAAACTTCAAGACCCCGACTGCTTTAGGGGAGGGGTTGCTTCAGGGAATATTCTATGCAGAAAATCAATGGCTTCTTGAATGATTAGAAGGCAATCCCAAACGAGTGAGTGGAGACCACGGCTTCTCCAGGAATGGAAGCCTTCCTTTTCTATTGTAAGAGTTTACTTTCTAGAAATTACCCGCCCTCCACCTCAATAAGATTTCCATCGTCACTGAAAGAAATATTCATCATTTTCCAAATGAGAAGTCGTTTACTATTTGTTTACTTTATTCTCTCAGTTGAAGACAGCTCTTTAATAAAATATATGGAATATTGTCAAACGAGGAATAAAATGAGGTTGTCCCTAGCTCAGAAGACAGAACTGAAGTAACAATTGATTTAAGTAGGCAAACAGGGTGTGTCAATGGGGTTTCCTGAAGCCTTGTAAAATATAATGTGTAGAAAGCAATTCTACCTAGCCTGTTTTTACAATTGTGGGAGTTATACAATTGCTGCATAAATATTCATTGAGATTCTTTCGTGAAACCAGATACAAATGAAACAAGGCAAGTCAAATATCAGATGGATGTTCTAAGGAGGACAAGGAGTCAGCCCCCCCTTGTGGGCATCACTGCACATCCCAGATCTCGCAGAGGAGAGGGGTGAACTTGTGGTCATTCACCCTCCAAGACATCAGCATCTCAGCGTGGTGATGGTTGAATGTCCGAAGTTCCGTCAGGCGGCCCAGGAGACAGGCAAAATGCTGAGGGTTCTCAGGCTGATAAATCTTGCACAGTTTTTGTAGAACATCCAGCAGAGGTTCCTGAAGCTTTTCCACTGCCTCTCTATCCTTTATGTATTGTCTATCTATTTGAGGGTTTGAAACAAAATAGCAAGATAAAAGAAAGTGAAAAACATTAATTTGGAGTAATTATGGCAATGCTTAAGCTTTTTTAAAATGTGTATTTATAAATGTTGCACCCTTAAATTTACAAAGTTTTCAGTGTGATGAAGTTACTTGCATGCACACACGTGCAATATAATACAAACATGTATACATACACTCATATACAATGGACTTAAATGTAGACCACGCTATGGAGCATCAAATGCTCCCAGGGGTTTCCCTGGATCCCTTCCCAATCAAAGCCCTTGAAGGAACCCCCACAAGTGTGAGCCTGCTGTCTCAGGGGAACATCCCCAGCCTTCCTGAGCCACAGGACAGCCACACGCATAACTCCAGGAGGCTCTGCCAGAAAGCTTATTTTTTCTCAATCACAATTTTTAATGCCCAGAGAATAGCAACTAGCACCTGCCTATTTATCACTTATAAAAAGGCTAGCACAATATGTTCTACAAACTACGAACACAATATCAATTGCACCCAAATCATTACAGCCAAGTTTGAAAATGCGTTTTATGCAGAAAGATATTCATTTCTGCAATTGGAAGCATACAACTGTACAAAGAAGATTAAGTATGTCTCTGTAGAGTCATACAGTGGAACGTAATGCCTACTTTTTGACAAAAGCCTACTAAAGGGTTTTCTAAAGGACAGAATGATCCTTGCTATATTATAACGATAATTTTTTTTTTGCTATCCCTGCTCAAGCATCAGTCTCTCAGAAGAGCCATGCTCTTCTCCTTCTACCTCATTCCACATATTCTCATTCATATATATATTTTTTTGAGATGAATTCTCACTGGACAGCCCAGGTTGAGCTCAAACTTGTACTCCTCCTCCATCAGCCTCAGGTGCAGAAATTACAGGCATGGGACACTGTGTCTGTCTATTATTATTATTACTACATATTTTGTAGGAAATTTGTTTTCTTCCTCACTTTTCTAAAACAATAGCCTCATAGAAGCACTATCCAAAGTACTCCTAACTTCTAGAGCCATATTTGTTATGTAGGAGGTAATGGGAAGTTACTGAAACTATGAGGGTAATATTGTTTGAAATAATAATTGAAATGTGTATTAAAATGTTAACAATCCATGTAAGTGGGAGAATTGTGGAGCATTTTGCTTTCTCTGAGTTTTTTATGTTTTCTTTAATGCACATCCATATGCCCACACTGAGAAAGAAGCAAACAGTATAAAACTCCAAATGTAACAGTCAAGTTACCTGGAGAGAGGATGACGATTGCCGTGAGCAGTGCGTACTCCTCCTGGGTCATTTTCAAGTCCCCAACGCTTTTGTAAAAACTGAACATCGGGGTTATATATTCGTCAGAGATGCCTGCGTAAGAAAGTTGAAGAACGAGAGGTTTTTCATTTTAGTTATTACTGTGGTGAGTGTGTGTGTGTGTGTGTGTGTGTGTGTGTGTGTGTGTGTATCCATGCTGAGGTCAGGGTACACCCTTGTGGAGGTGGTCCTCTCCTTCACATGGATTCTAGTGATCAAACACATGTTATCAGGCTGGTGTAGCAGGCATCTTTACCCTCTGAGCCATCTAACCAGTCCAATAAAAGTTTTGATTGACTGCAAACTGTAAGGCAGGAAACATGTGCCCATTGACATTTGCTTCCATGCGTGCACATTCATTTAGTTATATTTACATCTCAGCCAAAGGCAATGTGTTGTAAAGATCAATAAGCAAAATCTTCAGAGGACAGCCTCATGTCTGATGCATTTGTCTGTGAATTCAGTACTGTCTTTGTTTAGCCACCAATGTGTAACAACAGATGATAATGTTCTTGGGTTAGAAAAATTCCCATAATTGTACTATTTTCTGGGTGGGGCCTGTTACTTTAAACAATATCAATAGATAAACTCAAGATGGAGAGCAACTGAAACAAAGGGCAGAGCATAGCTGTTCTTTGGTTCAGAAGTAGAGGCAATTGCACTGAATACAATTAGGGACGGGTTTGGATCTACCTGAAGCACCATTGCCTACCATGCATTTAGCAGTATGGAGCCACGTTTTTCAAACTCAGTACGTTAAATATGAAAGATGCCAGGTAAGCATAAAACCTCTCCAATTTCTCCAACCCCCTTCTGATGTCTCCATTTCCAGAGGTGGATATTCTTGCCATCCAGTTGTCCAGGCTGACCGCTGACATTCTGGTGTGTGGTCCCTACAGTCTTCAATGCTTCTCCTCATTCCATGTCGCCTTGCCTCTTTACAGCTCTTGGCGCTGAGTTAGTTTCAACCGCCACCTAGAATAGCAAATGCTTCCTGACTCATCTTCCTGTCTTGTTTGTTCCTCTTTAGTCCATTCTCTATCCAGATAACAGAATAACCTCCATGAACTTCACGTCGAATGCTTTCTTCTCACTCGTTTCACGCCTTCAAATCCTTTCTATGGCTTTTGCCGAATGTGCACTTCCCTTTGAAATGGGGCCTTCTGCCTGTCCTCTCGACTAAGACTGTGACAGTGTACACTGGGTCCTCAGCGTGTACTACACTCTGTGATAGGTACTTCTTGGCCACTCCTTTAAAGCTCAGTGCGTCAAATATCAAAGACTCCAGGTAAAAACCAAACCATCACACCTGCTCCAAATCCTCCAAACCCACTCATCCCCTGCTGTTTCTTCATTAAGTTTTCTAAAACCCCTAGCTCAATGATTCTCAGCCTTCCTAACACTGTGACCCTTTAATATAGTTTCTCATGTTATTTTGACCCCCAACCATAGAATTATTTCATTGCTACTTTATCACTGTAATTTTGCTAATATTATGAACCTTAATGTAAATATTTGATATACAGGATATCTGATATGTGAGAGGCAATGCCATGACTCAAACCACAGTTGGCAGTCTTTGACTTGGTTTCTCTTGTTATTTTTGTTTTTTTTTTTTTTTTTAAATTGCAGTTCTCCTTCCTTCAGCAATTCAGTTTTCCCAGCATCTGTACAAACATGGCTGACTCTGCTTGGAATACCTTCATTCTCTTTTAACTTTATTCTTGTTTATAATTTAAGACTTCTTGTGTTTTTTTTTTAACTTACTCAAAAAATATTAGTTTGGAGCTGGCTACACACCTGGTTTCATTCTGGAGGAGTATTGGCCAAGGAATCAAGGAAATGGGAGAGGCTTGCTCATGAATGGAGATGAGGATGAGTGTCCTAGGATGGGTCCATATGAGAATCTACTGCTTTCTTCCTTCCCACACCAAATTCAGCCACAGAACCCTGGCTGAACCACATCAGAATATGGCTGGATTCTCGATGCCCAAGAGTAAAGCCATCAGGTACACTTTATAATCACTCAATTTGTCGGTAGCCGAATCCTCATGTTTAAAAGAGTTTCAAGTCTCTTCCAAACTGAGCCCTTGGCCTTTCCCAGAAATTCAACACATCATGCTCTTCTCCTCCTCCCTCGATTCCTGCACCTTTGATTGTGCACTTGACCCCAGTGAGTCTCTCGACAGCTAAGGCTTTGTTTAACAAGTGGGAGATTACATCATATGGAAGAGTGCCCTTTATCCAGCTACCACAGAACTGAGTTGAGTACAGTACCCATGACCAAACTAGATCCAACTTAAAAGGACTGCAGCAGGAGCCTGGGAACACGGTTCACTGCTTCCAACACTGGGGGTTAGAGCTTGTGAGCCGACTCTTGGCTTTGAAATCTGATTCCCTGATAATGGTCTTGAGCACATCAACACTTGTGAAGCCACAGTTTTCTCATCCATGAAATGTGCATTGTATAATGATAGTATCATGTAAGATAACACAGAGTATTTACTGCATGCTTGCCTTGCAGTGAGCCCTCAATGGTGGGCCAGGCTGAGGGAGTAAGATAGCAAGTGCAAGAGCTGCCTCAGCTACAGAGCAAGGCCAGGGACAGCTGGGCAGCCAGTGGGAGCTGAAAGCTACTACGGAGATCCACAGTGGTCAAAGTGCAGAGAGAAAGCGACTGTGAGCCCGGTCGTGGGCGGTCCATCTGTAGCATTACCTCTACACCTATGGCTCGGGGGGGGGGGGGTTTACAAGAGCCAGAGGACCAGAAGGTCAGCTATATGACAGAGTCTTCCTGACATGACAGGGTGCTACACCCATGACATCAGTGGACATGCCAACATGGATGTGCACAATTTCACAAGATAAAGAGTTTCGGGTAATCGATGACTGGTAAGAGAGGGAGAGTCCATTTTCTCCAGGGATGCTCCCCTGACAGGCTGTCCAATCCCAAGTGGTCTGCCCTAAACCTATACCTATAGGAGCAATACTAAAGCAGGTATTAAAGAAGATGTTTTCAATTCAAGAGGGGGCCCTGAAGGAGTTAGAGGAGTCAGGGGTAAACGCAGGACTCGTGTATGAAATTCTCAAAAGATTAAATAAATGAAAATTAATTTCAAGGAAGTAAAAACAGAGCTCGGGAAAAGCACCTCCCTAGCTAGTGGTAGGCTCTGGGTTTAATCTTCAGTACTACAGAAATAAATATTCAATATTCAATATGAATAAACATTCAAAGATTATTTACCACCGTTAAGCCAATGAACAGCATTAACAAATTAATGTGTCATAATCTCAGGCCATTTTAGTCTAGATTAAATTTGCATCATTCTGCCTTTACAAAGCTATATTGTTTTCTTAATTTCATGTGTGTTGGAGGCTGTGCCACTGTGCCCATGGGAAGATCAGGAAACAACACTTGGGAGTCAATTTTTTCCACCACGTGTGTCCTAATTTTCAAACTCAGGCCATCAGGCTTGACAACAAGAGCCTTTTCATCTGCTGAGCCATCTTGCCAGGCCAATATTGTGTGTGCACATGCATATATGTGTTTTAAAACGTCTCTTAGTTCTTCTCTTTTGGCACAGGGCCTCTCTACACAGCCCTAGCTGTCCTGGAGCCCATTGTAAACCAGGCTGGCCTCTACCATCCAGGTGTGGGGATTAAAGGCCTATCATTTTACTTTCTACTGGAAATGAATACAACCTATCTCATCAGTGACTTCCCTCAGAATTTTTCTAGACATCAGAGTAAAACAAAAATTTGTAACTTTTTTTTTAACTAAAGATTTTCTTTGTATCTTCAGAAATTAGCAGTCTTGGCTGTAAGTGGAGGAACCCGCCTCTAATCCTAACGTTTGGGAGAATGAGGTAGGGGGATGTGGAAGGCCAGCCCAAGGCACATAGCAAGACCCCGTCTAAAATCAAGAAAGGCTGTCTTCACGCCGCTCCCATATTCGAGAAAGATCACCTAAACTGCATGGCTGGGCCACAACTTTGCTTTGTTTTGTTTTTATCCTTTTAAAAAAGAACCTCAGTAAATTATTGAAGGTTTTTAATTTTTCTAACAGACTTATGTGAAACAATTTTTATTGAAATGTCTTAAAAAATACATTTGAAGGGCTGGAGAGATGGCTCAGTGGTTAAGAGCGCTGTCTGCTCTTCCAGAGGACCCTGGTTCAATTCCCAGGACCCACATGGCAGCTCACAAGTGTCTGTGACTCCACTTTCTGGGGATCTGACACCCTCATGCAGACATATATGCAAGCAAAGAACCAATGCACATAAAAATAGAAGAATCAAAATACATTTGAATTAATTTTTTTTTTAGGGGAGTAGTTCAAGACAGGGTCTCTCTGTATAGCCTTGGCTGTCTATAGACCAAGCTGGCTTTGAACTCACAGAGATTCACCTGCCTCTGCCTTTCTACTTCTTTCACCTATGCTTCCGGTGTCAACATACAAACACACACACACACACACGTGTGTGTGTGTGTGTGTGTATATATATATATATTTAAATAGACTAAAGATCATGCAAAGAAATGTCACAGAAAGACACGTCATATATTTGTGTATTTGTTAGAGAATTACTCTTTCAATTTGCTGCTAATCACACATGCTTTTGTTCATTTTGAATGCTTCAGCTTTGTGAATGAGCCATTTCGCTTTTATTGTTTTGAATCACTGACTTTTTGAGAGTGGCTGACTTGTCCCAGGAAGTCTCTTTTGAGAGTGCTGATCTGTGAGCAGATGTCTCCTGAAGCGTTTGTGACTTGTTTCCTTGGAGCAGGTAACTAGAGGGCGAACAGCTAGTGTGTGGAGCAGAATGAACCCTTGGTTGTGAAGTAATGAAAGTCATTCTCACACACATTTGTTTACGTGTGCACGTACATACACACTCATGTGGAAATGGAGCACAACCTCATGGTAGGTTCCTTCTCTCCGTCATGCAGATCCCTGGGACCCAACTCTGATGATCAGGCTTTTTGGCAAGCACCTTTATCTGCTAAGCCATCCCACTGGCCTTGGGTCGTAACTTTAATGCCATGGGATTTAG